CCGGGGGGGGGGGGGGGGGGGGGGGGGAGCAAATTGCCCGGCGGGTAGCGGGACTGACCTGGGAACTTGCTGCCTGTCCCGCGCAGGCTCCTGGCGATGCACGAGTGAGGAGAAGGCTTCCCCTACTCCTCACACTCAACCGACTGAGGACTCCCGGCGGCAATTGTGGCCCCAACTCCCAGCTGGGACTCCCAGCAGCTCCCCGCCCCCCCACGCCAGGCTTCTGTCTGGTGTGCAGCTGGAAAAATCAGAAAATACCGGACACTGCACATGTGCAGTATTTTCTCATTTATTTATCGGACAGAGTGCGCAAATTCCGGACTGTCCGGTACAATACTGGACACTCGGCAACTCTACCTGACAAAGCCCTGTCTGGGTTGATTTAGTTGGGATTGGTCCTGCCTTGGGCAGGGGGCTGGACACTTGATGACCTCCTGAGGTCTCTTCCAGATCTATGATTGATCTGATCCACAGTTCTTTTTGCAATTTATATATTGGTTTTACACTCTTACAAGACCAGGAGATGCAGGGGATTATGGTGGTTTTAAACCAGCCTGATAATCCGAGGCTGCTTCTTACCACTGACTTCCACAGGTCCTGTGGGGAATCCTCTTGTGGCCCAAACCAAAACTTTTAGGGCCACTTTGTGCCATTTTGGCCTTTGAGTCATACAAAGCTGCTGGACTGGGGGTGAGGCAGTATTCATTTCTAATGTGAGATGACACATTAATGCTAGTTGAGGTTAGCCCTGTGTTGTTTTAACTTTGTGTTTGTAATGACAGTTTTAAAGTTTAAAAACTGTAATGACAGTTTTAAAGTTCATAAATACTTTTTCCTATCGCATATTGCTGAAAGTTATGTAAAGTAGAAATTAATATTTGCACTAGAATGCAAACCTATAATTCTGACCTCATGTTTCCCTCCATTACACGTAATACAATTAGCCAATAGATCTTCATGTGACTGAGGTCAGTGTACAGTTTTGTACTCTGGTGCAAATGTTATGAGTTTGGTATGTGTATTGTGTTGCTGTAGGTGTCTGAAGTGCATGAGCCTTACTTAAGGAGGGGAAGAGTCCAACTGACTTTACTGAAAAGTATTTATTGGCCAGTTTTACTCATGCTTACAATTTTTTAACTGACCCACTTAGATTTTTAATGGCTTTTTCTTGTTTTTTCATTCATAATTATTTACAATAACTTATTCATTCCTTTGTCATAATAAATTGATTACTGGTTGCTTGGGCAATAAACTGGTGCCTCTCGTGGGTCTTGCAAATCTTCTGAAATGCTGTAAGACCTGCTCAATATATTTTCAGGATAATTACATAGCTGCATTGACAGCAAAAATTTAAAATGGAGGGGATAAATCAGCAATGGCTTTGATAGGTTCCTCTGAAAGAATGTTTCTAGTGAGTTACAGATTACTTTTTAGTACAGACACTTATACTTCACAGCTTTAAGAGATACCTATTTTCCTACCTTCCTGCCTATAAAAATTATACAAATTGGTTTTCTTTGAAGAGTGCCATTTTTTAAAAATGGGACTGAATTAGACTTCCTGCTCTAATTCCAGACTAAAATTATGTTGCTATTTTGATTTAAAAGCTTAAAATAAGATAATGTAATCTCACAAAATGCAGAAGAATGAAATACCTGCAGACAGCAATATAGAACACATGTGTATTAGATTCTTTGCCACCCCCTGATTTGTATTTAGAATTATGAGGGAGATGGATTGTGTTTAATGGATCTGTCTTAAGGTATATCATCAGACTTAGGATTTCAGCCAAGAACATTCAACGAAATGTTTTATTAAATCTGCCCTGTCTTGTTTCACAGGGTGAATGTTTAAATAGTTGTCTCTTTTTATAGAGAAAGTACACTGAGAGAGATTCTTTTTCCCTTATTGGATCAAGAGGTTCTAATATTTACTGCAGTCTTTACAGGAAGCAAACTTTATGTATATTTGTTTTGCCTAAAGAAGTGCTAGATAATCTGACACACAGATATGGACAGTTAATGTGGTTTTTTTGGTTCTGTTGTTTGTTTTTGTTTTGGGGTTTTCTGTGTGTGTTTTGTTTTACTTTTTCATGTAGGAGCTACTAAATGCAGTAATTGTTAACTGTTATTTTTCTAGTAAAATTTTATCTCTGGAAATCTTAAACTTCACTGGACTTGAAATATTCCCCTAGTTTCATTTCTCTGACTTTGCATTATCCTTGCTTCTAGCCGTATTGTTCCTGTATTCTGCTTTTTAAATTCTAATACTATATTACTTGGTGGTGGTTTCCATTAGACCATGGAAAAAAATATGTATCTATTGATATACTTATTCAGGAGCTGAATAAAAATGGATGTCAGTCTGGCTCAATCTCTTTTTGGACAAGGGCATATGTGCCTTAAAGGGAGATCAGTAAACTTAAATCAAATTTGTGAGAACAACGTTATGTTTTTTCCCCTTGCATTGCATGTCTGCATTCTTGTATCTGTAGGCTAATTAATAATACATTTAAGGATCTGAGAAAATGCCTCCTTAATTCTTTACAGTAGGTCCTGCCCTTTTTGATGTTACACCTATGAAGGGATTCACCTCCTTAATTAACCCTTAGAAGCCCAAGTGTCACAATTGTAATTGAGTCGCTCACACAGATGTCATTTTCTGCTTGCCAGAAGAGCTCGGTCCAAATATTATTTTCTTTTTAAAAACTGGATACTCCTAAGACAAAGGAGGAGTACCGGGGAGGGAGAAAGTTAAGGTGTGAGACTCAGAGAGAAATAGAATTATTTTAACATATACAGGACTTCGTCTCATAGTCTGCTTGATCTTTTGTAAAGATCTAATCAAAAAAGGATTATCATCATCATGGTAAGGCAAACAATGTTTTATTTTCTCTCTTTTTTTAAACTTCCTTTGGGTTAAGATGTAGTCAATTTTTTATTTAAATTCATTAAATCAATTTGAAGCTTGGCACTCGATTTGATTCTGGGAGTCTGCCTTTAAAAATCAAAAGCTGCTGTTGGCAAAATGGGGGATAAGAATTTCAGTATGGTGAAATTCTTTTCTTTAGGGATGAGAACAGGCATGTTTTCTTTTTCTGCTGCGTTTGCTGTTTTGTGTTCAGAAGCCTTTCCCAAACGCTTACATAGAACAGGATCTGCTTAATTTTTATCCATACTTCACATGTACTGAACATTTTTGCTTCGTGGAAATACTTAATAATTTTCAGCTCTGTGAAGTTTAAAAAATTCCTGAGTCCTATGTCTTTGACTTTGCAGAATCCCTTCTTCCTTTGTCACTTTGTGTGTGTGTATTCCAATCTGTAAAACTTTCTGCCTCGCACTTAGGACAGAATGTAGAAATTGGACCCCATGTTCAGGCTTCTTGAGCAGGGCTGGTCTTACGATGAGGTGTGAACAGAGGTGGCTGCTCAGTTGCCAGACTGGGGGAGGGGGGGACACTTGGACCCAGAGTGTAGAAAATTGTGTCTGCTGCTGGTGCATATGTATTCTCTCTGTTCTAGATGCACAGAGATGGTGGAGTGCCATGAGAGGAGTAGAACAGGAAGAAGGCAGAATTGAGACCTTTCAAAGTTTTGGCCCAAGCCAGGAGGCATGGGGGCATCATTTGAGCTCCCCGCCTCAGGTGCCAAAATGTTGTGAGCCAGCCCTGTAATTGAGATTTGCAGTTTCCCTCCAAAATTCAATCAAACATATATGCTGTGGGATTTACATCTAATTTCAGTAGAACATAAGCCCTGTGTTCTGCTGCGTGGTGTTACAAAAATCTTTCTACTGTGCACATTCTATAACTCATTTTCATAAGCTGAAAAAACATAGTTCTAGTAAAATAGGTTATGGGGAAATTGAGAGGTTTTGGAGATGCACGTTTCTTACCGAAAAAAAGCCTGAAATACTAGAAACGGAGAAACTGAAACTTACAAACCAGTGACCATAAAAAATGTGAAAGTTGAGAACTTCTAGTTTATCTGCTTCTTTCTTTCTTTCTTTCTTTCTTTCTTTCTTTCTTTCTTTCTTTCTTTCTTTCTTTCTTTCTTTCTTTCTTTCTTTCTTGTGAGCTGATTCTTTCTATATTTCTCTAGCTGTAAGTAATTTTTCCTTTTATTTTATAGGTTGTCAGAATGTATTTCTAGAAGTGTAGCTCAGAAAAAAAATGTGTTAACAAAAATTCCCCAAATACTATAATTGCATTGCATGTCTCCAGAGTTCAGAGAAATGTAGTAGTTGTGCCCTAGACCTTATGATGATTGGTGTAATCTCAAAGTGGAGGATGATGGAGAAGGAAAAGACCTACAAGGGAGTTTAGTAATGTAATTGTTGGAGTTAGAGCTTGTTTTGCCTACATATCTGAAATGGACTCTGTCAAACTGAAACCTAGTCCATTTTAAATAGTTAAAATATTATGTTAATTAAAGTTAATTAACCTGTCCCCAAGTTCCACCACTATTTCTGTTGGATTTTTTTTATAACTACGCCTTCCAGTTGTCTAATATAATATTCCTCCTAGATTGCTTAATGAAAGACAAACTGCTTATAATGAGCAGCAAAATTAAGGTGCCAAATGCACAAAATAAATAAAACCTCAAAAATTGCTCTAATTTTCACTTATAAATGTTGCTTTTGCAATAGTTGGTTAAAAAATGGTTCAGTACAGGTTTCTTGCTCTTGTTATCTTTAATATTTTTCACTTTTCTGCAATTACATTTAGTTTTTAATTAACTTTTCAATGTTTTCTCCACATTGCATTATACTTTATCCATTTTTTATCTTTCCCCATTATACTGGCTATTTTGATTTATAATGTTGTGTTCCCTTAGATTTTTTTTTTTTTCATTCTTCCTGTGTCAATTTTTCCACTCTCCAGTAGAGGCTCCACACTGCTTCAATAGTTGCTATGTCCTAAAAATTCTAGTACTCTAGCATTTGAACAGTTGAACCTCAATCACAATAAAGAATGGAACAACTCATTCCACTATGGCCACTTCTGTGACATCACCAGAACCCCATTCTGATGCTTTCTGTTTCCCACATACTTTTAGCATTGTGACTTGTAATTTAAAGGTATCCAAAACCCCATAAACCACCTGTCCTGATCTAAAAATACACTCCGTTATATAATTAGAATTGTATTAGTTAAAGGTACATTTCTTTTTACTGATAAAACAAATTGAATTTTAAAGAATTGTGAAAGTCAAATTTAGAGTTTGCAGCTTATTCTGTTTACTTTTAAGGTAGTGCGTAGGGTTTACTTCAACCAGCTAATGTGTTAAAACTATAAATGTCTTTTCAACACTTTGATTTTATGATAAAATGGTAAAAATACACCTTTTCCCCCAAGTATGGACATGCTGTAAGAGGGCTTGTCAATCATATTAAGTTAACTCAATTAAACATCCCTTTAGTCCCTTAGTTCTGGGTTCAGCATAGCATTTTAGCATGTGCTTAAATTCAACTGAAATCAAGATTAGCAGATGTAAGTGTTTTGCTGAATTGGGATTTGGCTGTATTGGCTCTGCATTGCTCAGTCTAACAGGAATACTTTTGATTAAGAAGGTGGCAGTTTTACATAGTCTTAAAACTAGAACTAGGGATATAAGCAACTAGTTGAATAGTGACTTGACTAGTCACTTCCTCTCCCTCTCCCCCTTGCTGCCTCTATCAGAGGGTATGTCTACACTACCCTCCTAGTTCGAACTAGGAGGGTAATGTAGGCATACCGCACTTGCAAATGAAGCCCGGGAAATTCAAATCCCGGCCTTCATTTGCAAGTGCGGTATGCCTACATTACCCTCCTAGTTCGAACTAGGAGGGTAATGTAGGCATACCGCACTTGCAAATGAAGCCCGGGAAATTCAAATCCCGGCCTTCATTTGCAAGTGCGGTATGCCTACATTACCCTCCTAGTTCGAACTAGGAGGGTAATGTAGGCATACCGCACTTGCAAATGAAGCCCGGGAAATTCAAATCCCGGCCTTCATTTGCAAGTGCGGTATGCCTACATTACCCCGCTAGTTCGAACTAGCGGGGTTGTGTAGACATACCCAGAGAGAGGCAGCAAGGTGGGGGGAGCTGGAGCCAGCACCAGGGGGAGCCGGCTTAATAACCTGTTCCCCCCAGCATCATCTCCGTGGGGGTAGGGAAGGCAGAATTTCAGGGGACCACGTTTGTGACGGGAATTAGCTATCCCGGCTCACGCCCTGTCCCCCTCATTGCACCTCTGCCTTCTAAAATGTATTAAGAGCTGGTGGAGGTGAGGGGAGAATGTGCATAGCCAAGAATCATTTGATTCCCTGCTCATGCCTGGTCCCTGAGCTACACCACAGCCTCTTAAATGGATTAAGAGCCTGGCATTTAAATGGATTAAGAGACTTTTAAATCCATTTAAAAGGCAGAGCCACAGTGGGGCTAGCTCCCGAGGCCGGGAGCTAACCTTGCTACAGTTTTGCAGTTTCCCCCCTTTTCAACTAATTGAATAGTCAATGGCAATTCCATCAACTACTCAGTTAACTGATTACATGCAAGTTAACATCCCTAAATAGAACATCATCTTCATAAAAAATGCTTGCAGTACACTTGGAAAAGCCTCCCGCTCCCTATGCAGTGTGGTCTTCAGTTCACCTTCAAAGTCATTCTAAAAACATATCAGCTTTCCTGTGGTTCCCTTGCCACTAATTCCATCTTTGATCCGGGTTTTAAAAAATTATTACTGATTTTGGGTGCCTGTTTTTCGATGCACTGAAACACGTTAAATGGACCTCATTTTCAGAGGCTGGGTTCTTAGTACTTTCTGTAAACTAGCCCCCTCTGTGGTGTTCCAAGCTTTGTACCCCAAATCATTAGCTATTATAAAAAACTATTGCCTTTTAGGTCTTCTTGAATTTCACTGTTGTTCTACATATTCTATTTGTCTGAATTAAAATATGAGTTTTTCAGGGCAAGAACTTGGCCATAACATAAAAAGTAGGGGTCACCAAATGAAATTAATAGATAGCAGGTTTAAAACAAACAAAAGGAAATATTTCTGCACATAGTTAACTTGTGGAATTCCTTGCCAGAGGATGTTGTGAAGACCAGAACTTTTAAAAGGGTTCAAAAAAGAACGAGATAAATTCATGAAGGATAGCTCAATCAATGGCTAATAGCCAGGATGGATAGGAATGGTGTCCCTAGCCTCTGCTTGCTAGGAGCTGGGAATGGGTGACAGAGGAGGGATCATTTGATTACCTTTTCTGTTAATTCCCTGTGGGGGCACCTAGCATTAGCCACTGTCAGAATACAGGATACTGGTCTAGATGGACCTTTGGGCTGACCCAATATGGCTGTTCTTAGGTTCTTGTGTTCCTTGTGTGTTTTGTAAGTGTTGTGTGTAACTGGTGCTCTGTTACTTCAGTATAATTAACTCGGGGTTTGTTTTAGGGATGTTAAATATCAGTTAATTGAATAGTCGAGTAACCTCATGCATTCTTATCGGTTAGTCAACTATTCTATAGTCCCTGGGGGTGGGGCTGGCAACAGCACAGGGTGCCAGGCAGGAGCTAGTTTATGCGGGGAGCCAGTTTAAAAACCAGCTCCTCTTGCGGACCGGCTGCTTGTCACTCTATGCTGCTGCCTCTGCTAAAAAGGCAGCAATGCGGGGTGGCAGCAGCCCCTGTTTGTGGGGGGCAGGTCTGATCTCCTGGACCTAGCGCAAACTGGAACTGAGCCAGGCTTCCTGCCCACCTGACTCCTAATACACTTTAAATGTAGAGCTGCAGCAGGGATAGGTTCCGGACCCAGCGTGAGCCAGGACTGAGCAGGGCTGCTGGCCTGACTGCTAAAAATTTACTGGTAGGGGGTGGAGAGGGAAAT